CCCCCCCCCCCCCCATTAATGGGATGGCCAAGACTTCTCAGCCATTACACACCTGTGTCCTGGTTTGTTTGTGTGGGGGGCTAAATCAGTGCTGAACTAATTTTTCATCATTCCTCAGATATGGGTTAACAAAGACCCCAATATAAATCTTCAGATAAATGCCCTCACAAAACCAGAACAGAGAAGCTGTTTCCAAAGGGGTGCTTTGAGGTGAAACTGTCCCCATGTAGGCCTGACTGCCTTCAGCCATGCTGCATCTCCAATTTAATTATTTTTCTTTATTCCTTTCACCTGTGGGTCAGATGTGAGATAATACAGACAATATCTCACACCACCCTACATCAAGTAGAGGGCAATAGCAGTCAGTAAGGACCATGTGTGGGGCCAGCAGCCACACTGGCCACATCACCTCTCACCCTAGGTAGCCGAGGGCCACTGAGGCTGTGATGTTAGGGTTTGATGGGCAGTCTGACTTGCCTTTGTGGCTTCACTGCTGTAGCCTGGCAGCATGAGAACTGAGCGACTTCTGTGCTGCTCTTCCTCCAGCTGCAGCGCAGACACCGCTCACATTTTGATATATTCCAGAGATACTCCTGACTTCGTGCTCTGGCCTGGCCCCCTGTTCAGGACAAGGCCTAAAGCAACCCTAAAGAGGTCAGTTAGCTCCTGCCTGAGATGGTTTCCTCTGGTGCTCTCTACAGCCTTTAGTGTGTCTGGGTGCTCAGCAGAAGCCGTCACTCACCCAGGTAGGCAGCCTGGCTGGTGGATTCTGCCAGCCCTTCGCGCCGCAGGTCCTTCCCCGCATCCCCTGGCGTGGAGCAGTGGGCAGGGGAGCTCTCCAGCATGAAATTCTTGCTGCGGGAAGTGCTGATGATGCGAGGTGGCAGGAGGATATTGATAACAGTCTGGAGCAGCAGCAGGACCTCAGGCTGCTCCAGCCAGGGGCTGTCTGAGATGCGTTGGGAGGGGAAAGAGAGAGAAAGATCAGGCTACATCCCATCATAGACACTCAAAAGATCCAGACCCTGTTCAGCTCCAAAATGGGGTGCATCTCAAATGTCCCCTAAGCCAAAACTCCGGCCCCCACACCTTGTTATGCTGCTTCTCCTCCTGCAAGCAAAGGCAAAGTTTGTTTTAGCACCAGCACAAGCACATACAAACAGAGCTACACAGCACAAAGAAAGGTCCCATTCAGTGGTCTCATTTCCTTTTGTCATTCCCCTCTCCCTTTACTCTTTGCTTTCATTTAGGGATTTACCAGTGAAGACCCTCTATAGCAGAAAGCAAGGAGCAAGACTCGTGCAAGACAAGTAGCAAGGATTGGGCAAACTGTGATCCACGGGGGGACACAGTTTCTGTGACCTTTGCTCCCCTCTGTGACTTCTGCTACAACAGATTTGTCTTGCCCTGCACTCCAGTTTCAAAAGCAGGAGCACATCTGTGTAAGACCTGGCTCAAGAACCAAGGCACAGCTGAAATAAAGAGAAGAAATAATAACTAATCCCAATGAGGCTCTTTCCACTCTCAGACCCAAAGGGCACTTAGCTGACATACTGCCAGTGACAAAAAAAAACAAATTTAAAAAAAATAAAATACAGAGAGCAGGAAAAGTGCAAACATCAGTTGTCAGAAAAGGGGGACAAAAATTCTTTTTGTTAAATTAGTCAGACCTTTGCTTCCAGATCCTACTGTGAGCACAAATGGAATCAGTAGGTTTAAAAGCATTCCTTCCCTTCTTTCCTGATTGGTGAATGGGGAGACGACATGGCTTAGGGGAAAATCTTCTTTCAAAGCCTGTACAGTAATAATAAAAAAGGATTTAATGATTTCATCAGCAGATCACACACACAAGTCACTGTAGGGAATGAGGATCCCCTGGCCACCCTGTTCACACAGTACAACACCGGCACCGATGACCTGATTGAATGAGATGCCCTCAGACCACTTAGTCAAGAGTAAAGGGAATTCACAGAGTAACACAGGGATCACCTGCTTGTGTCATAGCCAAACATAAGAAACCCAGACTCCCAACTCCTGGTTATCATTAACAAAATCAGATGTATCCCACAGGAGTCAGCTGAGTGTCAGTCCTAAGCTCTGCCCTGCTGTCGATGGTATCAGGATCTGACACAGACTATAGAGAATAAAAAGAAAGAACAGAGGAAACTGCACAAATGACATTATCTAAATATTCTCCTCTCTGAACATGGAGGCTATTCCCAAACATATTTTTTTTTCTTCCTCACTTTGTGCTGCCCTGTCATCCTCCCTAACACAAAGAATGAACTCCTGAAAAATAAACAAAATGCATTTTTACTTCTTGACACACAGTCAAGCTTAAATTGAAATACCTTTCACCTTCTTTTAGAGGAGGTAATTCAAATGGCTGTCACTAGAACCTTTGCTCATTTACAGCATCCCAGTTGCTACAGACTTAGCTGTGAAATGCAACTGAACCTTGCAATTCCTCAATGGGTGAGAAATTCTAGATGTTTTCTGATGGGGTGTGAAGTACTTCTGTTTTGTATTCTGCTGGAAGTATTGGGAATTATGACTCGTGTTTTTCCTGACATGTTCGGATTTCATTACATTTAAGCTCACAAACAAGTGAACAGGGAGAAGAGGATAATAAAAGTTCCCCATAATAATTAAAAATAGATATATTAATTTGGTATCTGTTTTGGGTTTTTTTTAATAGGTAATATTTCACAGCAGGTGAAAGTGGCCTTTTGTTTTCTTTTGTTTTGATTAAAGAACCATTACCTCAGAGCTGGAAGAAATCTGTTTTCTTTCTGTGTCATTTTGTACCAGAAGGTCCTTTTGTGCCTCATGCTCTGAGGGACAGCTTTGTGTGTTGGTCCCTGTAAGCCTTCCTTCCCAAGCCACCCTGCTGCTCAGAAACACCTGCCTAAATATTCAACTGGATGTACCAATGCATATTTTAAAATGAGAGTTGGAGCTAGATAAGGAAATTTGCCACTTCTTTGGTCACCATTCAGACTAATTTCATACCAGTGGGGAAGGAAGGGGACACTGAGGCAGAAAGACTCTGTAAAAAGTTATAGTGCTGCTATGATAAAGGAATAGTGATGAAATTCTCCAAAAATCTGGAACTTTTTTTTTTTTTAAATTCTGGCAACAAGGACACCATTGCGTCAGCAGCTGAAAAGCCAAGTTGCCCTGCATTTTGTGCTGGCACTCTGTGTGACCAGCTCAGGTAAGAGCAGAAGAGCACAAACTCCACTCTCAGTTACACACATGGTCCCACAGGAAGACAGGAAGGGTTGCATGGATGTGACCCAAGCCAGGGTCCCATCTTCCTGTGGCAGAAGTCTTGCGCTAACTCCTTAGATCCTGCAGAGAATCCTAACCTGCTTCTCAGAGCCTTGAACAGCATCCATCAGCCAAACTCCCTGGACTTCAATGGCAGTGTTAAGCTGATGGATGCTTGCTGTGGACTTGGCCCCAACAGATGAATTCTGAGCTCAGTTTGAGCCTTCAGAAAGAAGGGAGAATTCACATGTTGCTTCTCCTTAATTTTTGATGTATGTTCCACAGGTTTTGCCCAGCTTTTGCAGAAAGAAAACAGAGCACTGATGAGTTGGTGTCTCAACCAGAAGCTCTAGAGGCCTGGCCAGGGGGCCAGGGCAGACACACCTGTATCTGCAATGCTACAAGCCGGACAACAGCTGTGCTGAAGGGCAGAGGTGGCGAGAGATAAGGGCTGAGATGAAGAAGGGGTAATCCGTCAGCCACACTGGAGGGTCCTACCACTCCCATCACCTGCAATACAAACAGAGCACATCACCACAACTGGCTACTTACAGTTTCATCCATGTCATATCCTCCAACGTCAGTGAAATGGAGGTGCCTTTCATTGAGCACTGAGTTGGGGTGGATCTAGCAGAACCAGCCCCCCCAGTGGTCCTTGCAGGAGCTGGGGCCAGTGAGGAGACGGTGTTCTAGCGGGGAAAGGGAGAGGGAAAGAGGGAACCAGCATGGATGGGAGGAGTGCACAGGTAACCCGGTACATTTATAAATGTACCCAGTACCAGCCCTGAATGACCAGCACTGGACTGGTGGAGCAGCTAGAGTTGGAGGATATGTCATTTGACAACTGTAACAAATAAAAATCTGTCATCAAAGCAAAAAGTCTGCATTGAAAGTGAACGTCTTTTCCCTTCCCTTGCTTGAAAAATAACGTCCTAAGTCTGACCCAAGCCAGGTTTTGTACAATGTTCAGATTCCTCTCAAACACAGCCTGTTTTGGGGAACTCTAAGCATGATTCCTCTCAGCTGACTGACCCCAGATGTCTGCAGCAGAGTCACCTGCGTGTGACCTGGTTGTCTGGAACTCCTTGAATAATCACCACAAGGAAGCGGCACTTCTAGGGGACACTTATTTGTACTGTTTGGGATGTGTCCCTCAGGAGGAATGTTTCTCACCATGACCACACACATCTAGGTGACAGGAACAGGGAGAAGGTACCAGGCAGACACCTAAGCTTATGGGAGATGAATGTACGCTTTTTTTCCAAATTCAGCCTGGGGGAAAAGGCAGTAACCATTTTTTTTGCCAGAGAACCAAATGACAATTTAGAAGAAAAGGAGTCAGAACTCCTTCTGTTCATCACCATGGATTATCATTGAGATATTTCTTTCCTGGGTAATTGATTTTTCATGGTCTACACACGATACACCATGCAGTCAGCACTCCCATAGCTCACAGTGCACCCAGTTGTGACAGCTGAAGGTAAAATACTTGTAGCAGTAAGAGCAGATGTTCCTGGTAGCTCTCCCTGGCATTCCCAGCCAGCAGAATGTAAGCACGATGGCTGCGCTTCAGCACTGCAGAGCTTCCTGCTATTTTTAGAGCACTGGCTAATTCTTATTGTGGGCCCTTGGAGAGCTTGCTGGGGTGATTCAATCTGCCATGCCTGCTTGACAAACTGCAAATCTATTCCACACTCCTACTTGAGCTAACCCCCCCATAACCTGAGGGCCCTGATTTGCGTTAGCACCAGGTAGCTGCTACCTCTGCTTGGACGAGGAAGAAGTTTTATGAATTCTGACAGGTTGGAGCTTCCCTGCCCTTGCAGCAAGGAGTGCTGAATTGACTTGAAGGACAGGAACCTGGCAAAACCTGCCATTGCATTTTAGAGAACGATCATTGTTTTTAAAGCCCCTCAGAGCACTGGTGAACCCTGAAATGTTTTTTGTAAGCTGCTAGATAAGGTTACAACATTTATGCTCTAAGGAGAAAATGCTATAAAACCCAGTAACAGTAAAATTCTAGCTCAACCTTCGCCCATTAATTTATATTTTTGCACATGGAGTGAAAGTGTGCTTGTTTGCCCAAGTGGCTGGAGTTACATGGATATCAAAGTGGGGGCTTGCCCCCAGTGTAACATCTGCAGAAACACTATAATCTGTCACTGAATGACCAGGCAAACTCTGTCCTTATCACTTGTCTGTTGTAACACACTAAGGAGCATAAACTTCACCAAGAGAGGGATCTGAATATTGTACAGTGCAAACCTGTACTAGATCAAGCCAGGGACATTACAAATAGTGGAGTCAATTCACCTCGTAAACCCTTCTAACTATCCAGCACCCCATGGCCTCTGACAGAGCAATCAGGGCCCTTTCCCCACTGGGGATGGTAGGTATCCCCAGTGCCACCCTCTCCCCGTCTCTACCAGGTGTGTGCAGTCTCCACCACCCCATTCTCCAACTTGCAGCCCTCAGCTCTCAGCTCAGTCTGGCAAAGGTGGATCTTCAAAGTGGTGTGTGGGAAGTAATGGAAAATAAATTGCTTGACCGCTGCTGTTGGTCACTGTATCTCCCCATGCACCACTTCAAAAATGAACCTTCCTATCTCTAGTGTCACTTGCAGAGTCCCCTTGTGAGGGGTAAAGGGGACAGGTAAAATGACAGGAATGGGAATAAACTGTCATCTTCAGTCCAGAGAAACCAACAGCAAGGGGAAGGTTTAGCAAAGGTTCATGGGGTCACCGCTCAGCTACTCACCAGATTGACACAGACATTGATCAGAGACCTAAGGTGAGGCAGGAAGGATATGATAGGCTGCCTCTGAAGTGTCAAACAAACCCCTTCAATCAAACTGCTGGCAGGCTCCCACTCAACCTGGCGCCTGCAATACAACAGTAGGTGCCATTAGCCACGGGCTGCTGCCCCCCACCATGCGCCCAAACACGGCCACCGACACACAGTGAAGCCCACAGAGGAGACGTGTCAGACAGCAACGAGGTCCAGGAGGAGCACAGGGAGCTCGACAGGGAGAACGCTTTACCCACGCAGTTCGGGGAGGCACAGAGCACACCGGGTGTTCGAGAGACGAGAAGCGCAGCGGAGCGAGCTGGTGCTGCTGACACAAACCCCTCGCAGCAGCGGTGGTGGAGGAGCTGCTTTCACTCCCAGATGCTTCCCTCAGACAAGAGGGAGCCCACACAGTGGCCTCAGGTGTGCCTGTGTGGGGAAAGGTCTACTGTGCTAAGCTCCCAGCCAAGACCAAGCCCTCCATCTCCTGGGGCTCGTGATGTTCCCGGTGACTTGAACAAACCCCATCAGCCTGAGTGCCCTCTGTGAGCTCCTCTGCAGCCTAGCTGCTCCACCAGCATCGCTCCCAGACACAGACTGCCCTAAACAGAAACTGGCCCAGCTGTATCATCTTCATCTTCTCCCTGTGCAGGAGGAATGGTTCGCTCCCCACCAGCACCAAAGTTCTTCATCCCACGATCCTTTCTTCCCTGACACTTTGCTTTTATCACAAAAACTAAATTTAGGGACTATGCCAGATGCTGAAAGGATTCCCCTTCCAAATCAGAAGGAGACGGAGCATAGGTAACATCAAAGTGGTTCACACCCTTATCCCAGGGTCTGACTCTCTGCAGTCATTGCAGTTCAAAAGCCAGCATCTGACTGCATTTACTGGGACAGAAAGAAAAGGATGACGTAGCTTGTTAGCTCAAGCCTTGAACAATATCCCAGCCAAGCTCTTCAGGTGACTTCTCAGAGCCTCATGGGGAATCAAGTGTTGGCTACGCAAGTTTTTCTTCAGACCAACATATATCTCACCTTTGTGCATCCACTGGAACTAAATCACCAGAACAGTGGTTTGTTCTTGTACTTGCTCCTACATATCCACTGATTCCAGCAGACACTGGATTTGGAGTGGGATGCCCACAGGAGGCAGCGTGTAAGATTCTGATCGTGAGTATCCCAAGGGATGGCTCCTGGGGTCTTGCAGACAGACCCATCCCTAAGAGACTGCTTGACTCAGTAATGGTTAAATGAAGTTGCTGAATTTGGTCCAGTGGCTTTGCTGTCCTTTTGTGGAAAAGAGTAGTTTAAGCCAAGCATAGGTACAGGCATAGAGAGAGAGAAAATATGAAAGGAATTTTAATTTATGGGCATCCATTCAGCTCACATAAAGAAGAAAGATCTTCAGGAATAGAAACCCCTATCTGCCTTTGAGGCAGAAGAAGGTATGAGCAGGAAAAGAAGGAATGAGAAGCAGGCAAGACATGGCAAAGAATCAAGCCAACAGGAGAGAGAAACACCACAATTTCTGCCTCTGAATTCCCTGCAAGGGTGGAGTCTCTTGAAGCAGGTTAACCAAAGAAAAGTAATGGATAGTGATGCCAGAAAGAAGATATCACCTCCCTATTATTCATTCCAGCTTTGATTCCTACTGGGACATAATTCTAATGTTCTCTAACATGATTTGGCTTCTCAGCTGAGACTGCCAATGAAGTGCCATTCAAGCAGTTGAGGACATATGCCCATGAGGGTGACCAAGACCAATGACTCTTTTTACTCAGATCACTGGAAAATTCACTGGTCTGAGTGATTTTATACCACCCAGACTGGATTTGTACCACTGCCTCCAAGCAGGGATGCTCCACAATCAATACTTCTTGAAGTTGCCAAAGCCTGAACATACCATAATGGCACTGGTGTGATATACCAGGCTTCCACTAGACATGGACCTGAAGCAGTGGATGCAGTTCTTTGCCTTTTGCTAGGGAGCAATCAGAATCTACTGCATAGCTCCTATTTTTTGCCTTTACAGAGGACATAACAGTATTGCCATGCTAGAAATACTCTTACTACAGTTTAACTTTAAAAAACTCACAGCAAAAGTTAATTAAAAGGGCAATGAGATGGAAAAAATCTGAAGACTTCTTTTCGGGAAAGAAAAATGACATTTCTGGAAGTTCTCTCTTTAGTTCTTAACAACCATGCTGCTACCAGAAGACACAACAAAAACATCAACATAAACACACTTACAGAGATAAAAACACCTGTGATTTTCTGGTATGCTGTAAAGGCTCACTGCAACATGACAGCTTGAGGTAGATGACATACCCACACTTCAAGGCTTGCAACATCAGAAACGGACCCCAGAGGGTTTCCAGAGTACCTGCTCACCTCAGAGTAGGCATCTTGTGAATTTTATTGAACATACGATCCAATCTCTTTAAGATGAGGATCAGGGCAGGTCTCACCGCCTCAGCTGTCCAGTCAGTGATGGGCAGCATCTCCATGATGTAGCGCCGGAGCCCGCGGCTCTCCATCGTCTGCGTGTCGTAGGGGGCCAGCTTCAGCAGGGAGTGTGCGATTTCTGCCAGTCTGAAACCACGGGTCATTGAGAGGAGAATAAATACAACTTGCAGTTCTACACACATGCCAATGGATGAGCATGCCAATATTTAGGAGCCTAGTGAAAAGAAAATGGTGCAAAAGTCAAATGTGCTGTTTAAACTCTTAGATCTGTTAAAACTGTTTTGCTGGAATCGCTGTTTATATTTAAGAACACATGAATGGTCTAAATATTACTTTTACATTGACATTAAATGCACCAAGGGAGCATCCGGAATCACAGATTTGTGTAGCTAAAACCAAAGCCCCATGTGCTGGCATGAAGACTACAACATTGCAAATGCCTTTGAAAGATAGACCCAGCATCACTTGTTTGTCAGTTAATAAGTGTTTTGGTTTTGTTTTGTGCTTGTTTTTTAGCATTACCACTTGAGGAAGTATCACTCTGCAATTTTCAGGTGTTAACTTTTTAAAATAACGTGTTTATAGGTTCACACAACATGTCCTTTGTAGGATTGCTCCCTGCAGTTTTTATTTGTTTCTCCTAACAGCTCTACAGATTGTGTTGCTGTTGCTTTTTTCACTCTCCCAGATGGCCTTGTCAATGACATTTTTTTGGATTGACTGTGAAATATCATGGCAGCATTTAATTTACACTTGCAGTCTGACAAAAATCTACAAAATACTTGGATATTTGTGGTAAGCAAAGAGCAGAAAAAAAAACATGAAACATCAACAGACTTTTTTATTGGATGATTACAGTACAATACTATCCATATTGTGTTTTTTTTTTCTGAAATACATCCAAGTAATGGAACATATTTCTATTCTCTTTATAATCTGCCTAGTAATATCAAGGGCAACAAGTTCCTCAGATTAACCAAAAGTGGCATAAAATTGTTTTTTTATCCAGTATTTCTCTATTATTCCTTTTTTAGAACTGCTTTGTCATACTATGAAGTGGGTCTGTTTTCTTAAATGCTGTAAAATTTAAATTATCATATAATTAAACTTAAAGCAATACCAGTTCCATGCAATGATATATAAAACTTCCTCATGCATTATGGAGTGTGATATCCATTTCATCCAACTTGAAACATCAATCTCAATTAATCTGCTAGCTCCTTCCTAGCAGAAAGAAGCAACCTGGGAAATTCTTATCTTCCTGAATTACTGGGATAAACAGTTGGATGTGCATCTTCCTTTTCACTGGGTGCAAAAAGATCTTTATGGCTTTTGCAGACTAAACATATGACTTTTAAATGGCTATAATTGGGTAAGATTAATCCTGTCTGAAGCGACTAGCATATTATCCTGTTTTCTGAAGCCTCTGAAATGGCACCTGTCAGCCTCCCAAGATTATGACTGTCACATCACATTCTGATAAATCTGCTCTCTGTGTAGAACTGAGTTTGTCCTACAGTGGTTAAATCCCGTCAGTCATGTCACTGATACTTATGAATTATGTAAGGATCGAGATATGTTGCTTTTATTTAGAGATAACTATGATTAAGCATTTTAAGTCACAACCCTGACCAAGCAGCTATTTCTAGCACTTTCCAGGAGATTTAAAGGAATCAGAGCACAACTCATTATCTGCTGTAAATCAGTGTTGGTTTAACTGCTGTAACCTCTGACCATGAGAGACCTTCTGTCTTGAAGAGTGCAGCCCCTGCATGTTTCAGACAAAAACATGCAACTACACAACCAAGAAGTAAATCCATCTGCTATTATGAAAAAGAGAGCTAAAAGAAAGGAATTCCCCTGAAATGAACAAGTAAAAGCAGAATGCCTGTGGAATACCTCATGTGGGACTTCACATCCAGCAGCTCTAGAGAAGTCACTCGGGGCTCACCAGCCAGATTCTGCAGGATCTTCAGCCTCGGACCACAGTGCTTGTAAAACTCTGTGCAGATATTCAGCAGAGACTCCCGTGGTCTCCTGAACTCCTCTCTGGCAATTCGTTCATCCAGCTCCTCTCGAGGAAGACCCTGGCCCTCCTCCATTAAATGAAGGTTCTCCCTGGAGGATACAAAGTAAGACACAGCAGTGTTATATACAGTAGATCCTCAGGGATAGAAAATAACAACTTCTTCATCTTGTTTTTGCAACAGATGCTCTCTTCTGCAGTTGAAAGAAAGGTAGTTGCATCTGCGATTAAGAAACAAAAAGGAGAGGTCATAATCTTCCAAGTCTTGCTAAAAATGTAAATATTTTCTATATGAACTGTCCTGTGATATGTTCCCTCAAAAAAGACTGCTTGTCACAGCAACCATGTGTGGGAACGGTTTGTCACATATCAGGGGAGACTGGGATATAATTATACTGTACCTGATAAAGTGCAGTTTGGCTCCCTGTTCTGGGTACCTGGGAAAACAGAAACAGTGAGGTTGCAAAAAGCAACTTAGTAGTGCCTAAACTTGCTTTTCTAAAAGAAAGTGGAACTGTTCTATCCCTGAGGCTGACACCTCTTACATGGTCAGGATGGTATCTTGTGTCGCTGAAACAATGCCTACACATAGTTACTGACCACACTGAATTGCCTTTATCTCCCAACTTCCATCAGAAAACATATTCCTAGAGTTACTGACCTTTTTCTGAAAGGAAAAATTCAGGCTTAAAAACCACAGCTCTCTTTCAAGTGATTTCTCTTACTGATTTCCACCCCAGTTCTCAGTCTGTTTCACAAAACCAGAGTTCACTAAGTGAAAAGAATACCTCAGAGTGTTGTTTTGTTTTGTTTTGTTTTATTGTAATTTTGTTACTTCTTTTTGAGAAAGCATTAATGGATGGTGCACCACTGGGCTAACATGTCCAAGGCAGGAACAATAATCATTCTAACATGAAACTCCTGCTGTTGCTAGCAGATGTCTGTTGCAAGGATAACATGACTGAAGAAACAAGTGCAGGAAACCTGGAGCAGTGCCAAAATATTTTGGATCAGAGGCTGAATGTCTGATAATTAGAAAAATCTGGAAATGTAAGTCAAGATGCCTGAGTCATGCTGGACTGGGAATGTCTACATTGTCTGTCAACAGATACACATTTCCTGCTCTTCAAAATCAGCAGATAAACAATAAAGTGCTACTTTCCATTATACCTTATTTTCCTTAGACTGAGCAATCTTGCAAAGGAAGCAAATGGCAATATGTCCACTTCAGACTTCAGCATGTCTGGTTTATCTGCTGGTTTGTCATGTCTGGAGTTTATCTGCTTCTCAGATCAGGGATTGAAAGTCAAAGCCATGTTTTAACCATGACTGAACAGATTTTAAAGAATAATAGACAGATGCCAGGAGTTACCAACCAAGATGTGTCCACATTTATAAACTGACATAGTAGCCCTTTGATGGTCCATGCAAAAATGGATTTCTAAATCCTTGAATTAAAAAAAATAATAAGAAGAAGAAAAAGACAGATAATAACTTGGAAAACTGCAGAAAAACAGCTACCCCAGCTTTTGCTAAGCTACAATTCCCCTTCCAGGTCAGCACAAACATTCAGATTTTTAGCACAGTAAGGCATAGTCTGGCCAGGAGAAGGCAGAAGACTTCCTGCTGCAAAGAAAAAACTTCACAATCCCAAATGTTTGTGGGTGGATTAAGCCCTTCTTCTATGACCAAGTAAATTGTCAGTGGCCTTGTTTAATTTGGTAACTGGAATAGTCGCTATGGCCAAGGAGCAGAATTACAGTTCACTCATGCCACGTCCTTCCTTTTTTCCTTCTTCTGTGAGAAAGTTCTTTGGTGCTTTGTTTTGTTGAGTTTTGGGGTTTTTTTAAGAAGGACAAGAATATTTCCAGGCATCCTTTTCACTTCTCTCAGATTGTCAGTTACCCTTCCTCTGCTATCCGTACCTGCGAAAAACCCCCAGATGGATGCAGAGGTAAAGATCATAGGAAGAGACCATAGGGAATGCACAAGGAAATGGGAAAGGGAACAAAAGAAAACTAGAGGAGGTGCCAGTCTCTGTGAGCATCAACTGATCAGCAGTTTGTGTTTGTACAGGTGTTCAGCCACTTAGAACAAGGCTGGAAGGATCTGACCCTTCTGCCAGCCAAGCATGCTCTGCCCACTGGTCACTTTGACAGTGGAGTCAGCAGGAAGCAAAGCAGAGAGTGAGTGAGCTTCAGCATATATATTTCCACAGGGAAACAAAGGGAATGAATAATTTAGGATGTGCACCCTCCATTTTGATACCCCGGTCTTCTATATAGATACACTGTTTAAAACTAGAAATCCTGGTCTTGGGTATTTTGGTTATCATCAGAAATGCAGTCCTGGGGAATGTGTTCTTTTGATGTGAGTGTCTACTCCCACACTCCAGTACCCAGAGCACTCCCTCAGCTGTCTGAGGCCAAGCACTCTGAGCAATGAGAAAAAAAAACCTTACTGAAATAAAAACCCAAACCAAAACTGTTTCAAAAAATGATAAAAAGAAAGAAAAGCCTTACCTGGTGTTGACACCTGCTGACATGGTGTGGTTTGCTGTTGTGGTCCCTTTATGACCTTGGTCACATCGGCTCATCTGTGGGGCTGTCATAGGCCTGGCAAAGAGAAGGTGAACAGCACGCTACACATGAAATCTAACACACAGAAATTCTGCTTTTGCTCTGAGAACTTGCACTAATTTTACCAAGTCTAATACTCAACCATAACTCAAGCTAAGCTGCACGATGTGGCCTGCTGTGCATTCCCTCTCCCCGCACAGCCAGCCAAATGCAGGCTCAGCCCCTTGGCCCATGGGTGGTACCTGGTGAGAACTTCTACACTGTACAGGAGAGCCTGCAAAGAGGTGGCAAGGGCACCCATAGAAGCAATCTCCTCACGAGCTGCTGTCCCAGTGTCCACTTGAGAGGTTTGTCGCTTCAGTTTTTGCAGGTAACAGGGAACCAGGGCTTCCAGGACCATCAGCATCTGGAGGCTGGAAAATAACAATATTTGCTCTGTTATATTTTGTCATTCCTGAGCTCACATTAGGTAGAGGCTTTGGTTTCTATCTGAAGACCCTGGATCTGTCACTAGGCATTCACTGCTTCTCACCAGAAGTCTTGGGCCAAAGAAACAGCTGGATTAGGAACTTCAAGGGGGGAAATTAGATGATGCAAATAATAATAATACTAATAATAATACTACTAATAATAATAATCATCATCATAATATATTTTATTATTAGTTATATTTCTATAATTTATTATTATATTCATAAATTATCATATTATATTATTATTTATTATTATTACTTATTAATATATTAGAAATATTTGCTATTCTAATGTTGTTTTAATATATAATATTATTATTTTATTATTTTATCATATATTATTATGGTATTATTATTAACTATTTTATATATTATTTATAATTTATTATTGTTATTTATTATTTAAGTATTAATTATTTCTTATTTATTTATTATTAAATATTGTTTATTGTAATTATTATTATTTAATTATTATTTTAATTATCATTATTAAAAAACCAAACAAACCCTGAACTTTCAGGTATCTTCCAAATATGTCATCCATTTGCTAACAAGCATTTTCCCTTCCAAAGACTCTTTTATTCTCTGATTTCCTCCTGCAAGCTAACATTTGTACTTAAGTAAGTTTATCTCTGCTCTCTCTGTTATCTTCCTGTTCTCTCCAGTCTCTCTGCCTGTCTCTCCCCCTCCAGTTCCCTGTCTATTGCTCCTCTGGTGACAGAAACCAGCAGGACACTGGGACAGCTGCCATATGCAGCTTTTGTGCCTTTTCTGAGTCTGCACAAATCAGGACAATGGATTATCACCTTCTGAATGACTCGGGAGCATAAGCCACCACTGTCACACACAGCTTGATGGCTTCACTGATGGAAAAGGTCAAGTCTTCATTCCCATAGCAGAAGTCTGAGGGAGGAAAGTAATATGAGAAGACTGTCACACAATCATACTAAGTATGAATGGAGTAACACACTTCCTCTTCCCCCTCTCCTATTGCTTGCTTTTCATGTTAACAATGCCCAACAGGCTCTTGGACAGATAGAAATCTGTTTCTGTAAAATAAACCTGTGCTGCACTCCTACTTGAACCCTACTGCCCAAGAACTCAGTAGGTGAAACAGCTCTCAGCAGGTCACTCACTGCTGAGCAAAGGGCTACAGAGCCCTGTTTCAAACATCACCCATCAAAAGCTAAGTTTTAAGCTCATATATGGTGAGGGCACATGTCAAATTAATGATAATTTTTATGGTCCCTATGCTTAGATGTTCCAGCCACACAGAAAGTGATGCTGATGCACCACTGATGGCAGAAGATAGGTTAGCTTCTCAAAAATCATGGCCACATGGGTGCCAGCACAAAACTGACTCTATTTTGCTAGTGATTTCAGAAAAAGGTTTCAAAAGCATTGAAGTCGCATACAACAAATATCACTTTGGGCATAATTAGTTCCAGGCACTTAGAAACTAGAAAGAGTAATATTGGCAAAAGAATATTTTCTTTAATAAAACTATAGTCCTTTTTTCAGAAGTGACTCTGTTATGCAGGAGCCAAAGTCAAAGTTAAGGTCCTAAAATATGTATATCATAATTCTGACCCAAGATACCAGATACACAACATTCTCATCCACAGTCTCATCATCAACTCATACTTGAGAATTTTCAGAGATGTTTTCAATATTTCTCCACAGAAACCTCCAAGATTTTACACAAATGTTTGGTACAATCCACAAAGAGGAAGAAATATCTTCTCTTTCTGTACCACTTTATATTAAAACTTCCTATATAATTGTGCGGCATCATGAAATCCCACTTTATTACAAAGCTTTAACTGTAAGGCCAGACAGGCTTCACAGAGCATCAAGATAACTACTATTTGAGAGAAGTGCAAATTTGGAAAACAAGTTGATGATCCTTATAAAAATCAGCAAAAATCACAAACCAGCCAAATTCTTAAACACAGCATTGCATGGATAGCTATCAAGAGACAGAATGTCCTGGATACACCATACAGACACATAAATTCTGCTTTATGATAAATCAACACCCCCTCCAGAAGCTCAGCACTGCTGGATGTCTGAATTGTATCCATCATCATCTACAAGTCACAGTCTGCCCACAGGAGAGGATGCTTTTGTTTCCTGTCCATATGGAGCAGAGCAGAGGATGACACTAATCTTGTCAGCATAATATAATTTATTAGGCATCTTTATTCTTCACTCACACATGTTAAAATTCAAAATGCTAGAGGCTAGTCAGAGACTAGAAGGCTTAAAACAAAAAAAAAAGTAGCTTCGGAATAAAATTAATTAATAGTTCCCCTCCTGCAGAAAATATCAAAAGGATGATGGTGATAAAGCCAGTCTTAAAAGCCCCATGAGGCACAGGAAACAGATAGAACATTCCTATAGAAGAGAAAAGCTCTGAAGAAATCATGCTGCATCAAGTGTCTGTTGAATCAATAAACAATAAACCAGAATTACTGAATAAAGGGTGCTTTACCTAATGACTTGAGAGGCTTTTCTGCTTTCACCAGCTCTAAGATGTCCAAAATGTCTGGAGTTTCTCCCTCCAAAGACTGCAGCAGGTCAAACAGGCACTGAGCTGACACTCCTTTGCTGGTCCCGTTGTTTGTAGCATCCTGTTCCAACAAGAGAAATTAATGTCAACCCAGGAATGTTTATCTGGAGGTGTGGACAACCTTTGTTTTCCACAAAGGGTCCACATGGAGTTCATTGCTTTCAACCAGTAAGCATTGCCTGACTCAAGAGACTGATAATTAATGAGTATTTCAAAACATGACTAATCTAGTGTTAGCCTTCACATGTATACTAAAACTTGGTATTAAGCTTTTAATTCCTGTTGCTGGATTCTGAGAATGGATTTGCATTTAAAGACTTATAAGTCATGATTGTCATTATTGCTGCTGTCTCAGCACCCTGCTCCACCAAGTGTGCAGAAATAAGTGGGGACCTGGTTCCGTGCAGCACCGAGTGCTCTCTCCTTGTGGCCTCTGATGTGGGGTGGCTGCACACACACAGCTGGGGGTGCCTCCCCCCCAGGACAAGGGAATAGCTCTCACTCACAGGGAACTCCAGGAGAGGGGCCACGCTGGCAAACAGCTGCAGGATAAAGGGCTTGCGGTGCAGGACGTAGAACTGGCGGCACGCGAACTCGATGGCCTGGCGCAGCTGGGGGTTGCTTTCGTAGTCAGAATACACCTGAGCACATGGAAAAGGACGTGGAATCATGGCTCCAGAGGAAGGACTCTTCACCTCCTGAGCCCAGACTGAATCAACTACAGCACTGTCATTCCTGATAGGTTCGTCTAACACGCTTTTAAAGATGGAGACTGGACTACCCTCCCTGGCAATGCATTTCAGGTTTGCTTTTCATGCTTGAACATTCTTTTTTGTCCTACATATTGAGGTCAGTTCCTTCCCTCTCCTTCCTAGAAGCACTTTGCTTGTTAGAAGCCAGTTAGTGCTTTCTTTCTTAATCTTCATATTTTTCAGCTATCCAAATCTTCCAGTCCTTTCTCACAAGACATATTTTCTACATGAACATCCCTGTTTCCCTGCAGTTTCTTGAGTTAACTGATGCTTTCTCTGAGCTGGATAGAGCCAGTACTTCCAGTCACTGCTGATGATGAGAGCAGAATTTTTCCATGTTTTTCACAAGATACAAATCTGTATAGTCACCCCATACTGGCATTTGAGACATTTTTCTCTTCTATCCTTCAGCAGAAGGATGCTGTTGATTCTTGTTTGGCTTCAGAGCTATAATTCCAACATTCTGTCCTGCAGACGTGCCACTAAATCAGTTACTTCCCTTCCAACACGGTGTGTTGGTTTGGGTTTTTTTTTTTTCTTTTTTTTTTCAGACTGCATCTCTAGTTTGTCATGATAATTTGTACTCCTGCTCTGTCCTCCAACACAGTGACAGTGCCACCCACTTTTAAAATATTTTAAGTTTTTAGAGTGGCATTTCCTTCAGGGCTGGCCATTGAACCATGCAGAGGATATGTTGCCAATTTGTGGGATTTGTTTCTCAGTTATGTAAACAGTGTGAATTCCCAGGAATAGCTTCTCCTTGTGAGACCTCTGCAGAGACTTCTCAGTGCTCTGGCAGGCTGAGGAAATCAGCACAACTTTCATACAACCAGAACCCTCTAGCATGGGGACGAGGCCTGTCAATTACCAACAACATCACATTTACCTTAAAAAAAGGGAAATAATTAACTGTATATGCATTTTACCAAGGGAAATGGAAAAACATGTGACAAAAAGAGCCGTGTGGGGAAATTTGTATGTATGCACCAGGAACTGCGCTTCAATTAGCAGCGGGATCAAGCCCAGGAGTGGTAAAAGAATTAACCACAAACAAACCAACTGGCCTTGGGGTGCCTGGCACAGAGAAATTAAAGTCTGCAAAACCAAACAAGCTCAGAAACACCTGCATTTTCTTTTGGAATTGCTTTTTTACCTCCAGAAGTGGTATTTTAATAACTCAGTAGTTGACAATAATTGAGGGTGAGGAGAGGAAAGAATTACAAACGAATTTCTCTCAATATGAAGTGAAAATGAAGGGAGAATCCTTTGCAGGACTGAATGGTTACTGTTGAGGACTTCAAATTATGTTATTAGGCTATTTTATTTCAAAATGTCTTGTTTCTCATTAATAAACCCATGCTGACCTGGATTCAATTCATACTTACCTAATCATGTGAGGCAGGATATCAGACTTTCCAACTACTACAGAGCTTGTTTACATAGCTAAAGTAATCACTGGTTCTAATTATTGTTCTTCATTAAGTAAGTGAAAATTAAATGTATAGGGATTCTTTTTTTCATGAAAGGGCACAATAATATTTGCATTATAATACTAAATCTCTACTTAGATATTGCCTTGGAGCCCTACAGAAATAATCCTTTCTATCTGTCAAATAATTATTTTTTAAATTTTATTTTTTGGGGTTTTTTTTTAAGAATCAACAGGAAAAGATGCCCATTTGTTCATCTGGAAGAGAAACTCCACCTCTGACACTTCCACTATTTTTCATCACTCACAAGAAAAAGCAACATACCATTTTTCATAAACATTTTGAGTTATTTTCATACTTTAAAAGTGAATGTAATTTAGTTTCGATTAGCAAGTAGTAAATCCAGATATTTCAACTATTTCTCAAACTTCAGCCATCCCTGAAGTAAAAACCATGGAGAGATGCCCAAGGTCCAAAAATTGTACAGAAATTTCCCATTTCTGTGTGGAAGTACAGAGAAAGGAAAACAGACATTTATTTACCTAACACAAAGGAGAACAGAAAATTTAGTAGTTTACTCAAGAAGGAAAGCTAATTTGGGCCATCCCACGGTTGCCTTCTTGGGGCACCTAAAAGCTCTCATGAGGTTTGATGTCTCATGAGCAGATCAAAGCTTTCCTGTTAATTCCTCACAGGAATCACAGGATGGTTTGGGTTGTAAGGCCCATCCAGTTCCACCCCCAGCCACGGGCAGGGACACCTTTCACCAGAGCAGGTTTCTCCAAGCCCTGTTCCACCTGGCCTTGAGCACTCACAGGGATGGGGCAGCCACAGCTTGGCTGGGCAGCCTGTCCCAGGGTCTCAGCACCCTCCCAGGAAGAACTTCTTCCTCAGATCTGTCCCGAAGCTGTTCTGTGTCAGCAGGACGCTCCCTGGGGTTGCTCCTGGGCATAGCTCACCTGCAGCATGCTGGGCAGCACCCACTGGTAGCCGCTGAGGGAGAAGAGGTGATTGAAGTGCACGGCCGTGTTGATGACGGTGGCAGCGTACTGCCGCAGCAGGGCACTGTCCTCGGGGTGCAGGATCAGAGCGCCGTTGAACACGTTCAGGAACAGCATGATCTCGTCCCCCCACGGGAACTCGCTGGGCATGCCAAGGAACATCTCTTCCAGCAGCTTAATCCACAAGCTTTTCTGAAGGGTATCCAGGCCAAAGAGCTCTTTCCCAGCTGCAGGGGAGAAGAGCAATCAACAGCAACAGCAGTCAACAGCCAGCCTCACCTCGCTGCAAAGAACCACCCCACAACAATGACCATCCTTCTGCCTTTTTGAAATCATTCCACCCTTCCTGTGTTTTGTTTAAGTGCCCACAGGCAAACCTCAACTGAAAGCATCAATATAAAGATGAAGAATGATAAATATCACACAGCTCATTGATCTGCTGGTTGGACACTCTTCCCTTAAAAAGTGCAAGATCTGAGCTTGTACATGCATCATCTGCCTCACACAGAGGCTGTGCAGAATTATGCTCAGTTTTTATGTTCCAGGTGTCCCACACATTACAGGAAACAGATGCAGAGTTACAATAATGCTTCCGAAATCAAGTGCCTTTAGGGCTGGTACAGAACTTTCCAATGCTTACCACTGTGTAACAATGGCCTATTTAACCTTTTTAACATCAGGCTGGAAACCCTACTTTACCTTCAGAGAAAAGTTTCTATGTGGACTGTTTCTTTATCCCCACTGCAGAATTTACCCAGTCTTGGATTTCGACTGCTTCCACAAAGCAGATGGCAAAGGACTTTGAGCAATCCTTTCTGGGTAGCCTCATGCATAATTTTAATACTCAATTAAAATTCATTCTCATTTGGGTCCAAAGCAAGTAGCCTTGTCTGGAGAATTCTAACAGCGAAGCCCTTTCTGCTGGTGTGCTTACAAACCAACAGTTCTGTATCAGTTTCCCCAGGAAGGGATTCATCAGCTTCCAGAAAAGCTGCAAGCCTGTGTGTTTCTAGGGCAAATAAAGCACTCACTGAAACCTTCTGGGTCTTGAAGAGCCCTGCAG